GAGTTCATTGTGTCATGCACTAAGTGCTTTATACATACATTAATTTAGTCCCCCTCCAAAATAAATACTATTATCAGTCCCATTTTTGTTTGTTTTAAAATTTTTTAATTGATTTTTAGAGAGAGAGGAAGGGTGAGAGAGACAGGGAGAGAAACATTGATGCAAGAATGAAACATTGATCGGCTGCCTCCTGCACACCCCACAATGGGGATCGAGCCAGCAAGCCTTTGGTGCACAAGACAAGGCCCAACCAATTGAGCCACACCAGCTAGAACCAAAACAAAGTTTTAAATTAAAATCAATAACAACTGGTTTAACTCTGTATTTTATTATGAACAAGCAATCTATACATATAAAAGCCAAGCAACCAGAACAACGGAACGACCGGAACAACCAGAACGACCGGTCACTATGACGCACACTGCAGTGGCCAACTGGCCTGATCGGGGCCCCAATCAGCCCCTCCCCCTGCTGGCTTGTCCCCTATCGGCACCCCACCCCGATCGGGGGCGGGGCTGGTTGGTCAACCTCCTGCCTCCCCTTCCCCCCGACTAGCCTGGCCCCGATTGGCCCCCATTGGGGCGGGCCGGCCTGACCCCATCCGTGCACAAATCTGTGCACCGGGCCTCTAGTATAATTCATAAGCAATACTGAAATCATCCAAATTCCTTATTATTCCATAAAAATGCTTCACACAGTTTTTAGCAATTACCCCATAAATACTGGTCATAGAAATAGGGCTACCACTGGATCTGAATCCAGTACAGTCATGTCCAAAGTATTTAGCCAACAATTTTACCAAGACTGGCAGTGTTGGAGGCCCTCAAAAAGAAAGTGTCCAAAAAGAATCTCAGATTTTCTTGCTGTGATATTCACAAAATTTTATAGATACGTGTGTGTGTGTGTGTGTGTGTATACTATAACAACCCCCACTATCACACATAGAATATGTTACAATTTGTAGTATCTCATTTGAGCATCATGACAACTCAGTGAGGTAAATATGAGAGATATCATAACCCTCTTAATAGATGAGGAAACCAAAACTAAGGTCAAGTGACATCTCAAAGATAACACAGATATAAAATAAGGCTATTACTAGGTCAACACTCCTTTTATAAAACAGTTCCATCTCTGAAAAATTAATTTTTTTTGCCGAAACTGGTTTGGCTCAGTGGATAGAGCGTCGGCCTGCGGACCGAAAGATCCCGGGTTCACTTTTGGTCAAGGGCATGTACCTGGGTTGCGGGCACATTCCCAGTGGGAGATGTGCAGGAGGCAGCTGATCGATGTTTCTCTCTCATCGATGTTTCTAACTCTCTATCTCTCTCCCTTCCTCTCTGTAAAAAATCAATAAAATATATTAAAAAATTAATTTTTTTTAATAAATGTACTCTGAATCCCCAAAGGCAAAACAGAAGAGTACCAGGCTAAAAGTCAGGAGATTAATATCTGAATACCATTCCACAACTTTCTATTTGGATTAGTTGAATTCATTTCTCAGAGCCTCAATTTTCTCACCTGGAAAATGGGAATAACAATATCTACCTTGCTGGGTTACTGTGAATAATAAGTGAGATCATGTAAATGGCCTCACAGTATCTAGGTCATAAAAGGTGCTTAGTAAACGGAAGCAACTATTTTCATTATTACTTACTTTTATCCCTAGGCCTTGGCTATCTCATAAGCTAACAAATGTAAATAGAATTGTCTTTAAAATTCTTTCTAGCTCTAAGAGACTATACTTCTCCATTGGAAAGTGAGCCTTTTCTTTCTAAGAAACACTATAATTTCTAATAGTGGGTTACAACTATCCCTACCTGTAGTTTCTCAAAATGTTTGTATAAGTGTAACAGGCAACGTATTCACTAAGAAAGTGTAACTTGTAGCATCGCCGTGGCTCAGTGGTTAAGCGTCAACCTATGAACCAGAAGGATATGGCTTGATTCCCGATCAGGACACATGCCTGGGTTGTGGGCTCAATCCCCAATGTGGGGAGTGCTGGAGGCTGCCAATCAATGATTCTCTCACATCATTGATGTTTCTATCGTTCTCTCCCTCTCCCTTTGAAATCAATAAAAATATATTTAATAAATAAATAAAGAGTATAACTTACCAATAGCTTTGCAGCTTGAACTCGAACCACCCAGGATCCATCACTGACCATGTGACAAATTTTCCCAAAAGCATCATCAACTAAGCGAATTTCTTCATTAGAAGATGGGATTGGGACAATGCTAAATTAAAAGAAAGAAAAAACATAAAACGTAAGTCTAAAGCTTCAGGTTCAATAAACTGGGAATGATAAACAGCACAAGTCGAGATGATAATTGAATAATTAAAATCCTAGAATGATGGAATACATTTCATAGTAAACAAATGACTCTGAGAGTATAAGTCAACCCTTTTAGTTGTGCTGCAAATTTTCACTGTCTTGAATAAAAATGTTTAACTCATCAGAGGTACAAAGATTTATGAAGATACCAAAAACTAGCTACCACAGAGTACTTTAAATCTCTGTTTATTCCATACTTGCATTGCTGTGAATATAGTAAATCTCAGAATGTAAATAGAATTGTCTTTAAAATAAGTATAAAACATACTTGTCTACCTGGTCCTAAAAGGAGAGGCAAATTCCAATCAGTCTTTTTTTTTTTTTTTTTTTTTTTACTATATCTGTCTCTCCACCTCCCAGAATCACTGTAAGAATGATTTGATTACTGCAAAAATGTTTTTAACCAGGAAAACACTACATAAGGGATCATTATCCTCAAACTACTAGTATCTTTCTCTGGTATTTGTATTTACTAAAATGGGCCCCAAACAATTTTAAAGATTTAAAAAGGGTAGGGTAGAGGTAGGGAGGAAGCTACAAAGCACTCAAGAAAGACAGTCCCATCCCTTCATTTAACTTTCATTTACAAAAGAGGAGGTTGGGACCCAGAGTTGAAATATCTTTCCAAAGATACACTGAAAGGATGGCAGAGCTAAAGAATCAGGACCAGATATCCTGATTTCCAGGGTCTGTACTTTTCCCCTATTTCACACTGCCTTCAAAAAATCTAACCAACTTTTTTTTTTTCTTCTGGAGGTGGGCTTTTTACACAGTGGGAGGAGAGAAAAATGGCTTAGCAATGAATGAAAGCTGGCTTACACCCACCACACTGACCTTTCAGGATAGAGCTGACTGACAACCCAGATAAGCTGGACTGCAGCACTGCGCACTTGTTCATAGTCATCAGAGAGCAATTTACAGGCCTGCAAACAAGGATTCCAAAAGTCTATTAGTTTTGTATCCCCCCAAGGTGATGTTTAAATTATTTTCACAATAAAGACAGGGTGGCTGGATAAGGATGCTAATCATAAAACCTGTGGGTGGTTTTAGCTACTTGAGCCTTTGCCCAACAAAGAATTCTTGGCTTCTGTCAGCTGCTCTGTGTTCTGACTGAGCCCTCCCATCTCAAGTCTGGAAGCAGAACCACAGCCGGATAGCACACAAATGCCATCTAAAGAGCACAATTCCAGTAAAGCCTTCTGGGAGCCCACACTGCTGCTCTCACAGGCTCAAACACCAGAGATGGTTTTTTGCCTATCTGTGAAATCCAAGCACAAATTTCTGATTGACAATCTTTCTGAAATAATTGCACAATTTTAATGCTAAGCCGCCAAAAGAGGCCAGATTTTTCTGTTTTACTTTGGTCTGAAATGGCCTATCTCTACTCCACCCACAGTCATAGCAACACCCTTGACTTCAACAACATCCAAAACTACTCCATGTCTGAGATTTTAAAATCCTAAATCCATGCTCTGACCAGAACTTGCTACTCCATCAGCTCTTCCATTTCCATGCCTTAACCCATTACACCTACTCTTCAATCCCACTTAACCTACTAAGAGGGTTAACTTGAAACGCAGGCAGATAGGGCAGGGGTCCAGGGGAAAACAAAGGCAGGAGGAACATAGGCAGGCAGACACAGCAGAGTGAGCAGCCTAATCACAGAAACCAACCAAGCAGAAATAATAAAATGTTTCTGGACTCAAAGCGGGAGGCAGGGGAAAACAAGGGAGGGCCTGCAGCAACAAGGGAATGCACAGAAACAGAGAAAGTTCAGCGTAAGAACAGAGAAAGAACACATAGAAACAGGGAAAGTTCAGATCCATTGCTGGGCAAGAACAATTGAGGGAATCAATCAGGTGACAACATGGATAGATACAGAAGCAAGCTTGCAGCAAATATACACCCCTGGACTACAAAGGTTTCCCGGGCAACCCATTATTGGGCGCCCCTCCCCATGGGGGGGATTCTGAATCTGCTTGCAATAAATTTTCCACACTTTTGCTTAAATCTTCTGGTCTACATAGCTCATTCTTCAGCATCGTGAGACACAACCCTGGGAAAAACCCTTGGCTCACCGTTCCAGTTATCACTACCTATCCATTTAACCAGGGTTTCTCAATCTCGCACTATTGACACTTTAGACTGGATAATTCTTTGTGAGGGGTTGTCCTGTGCATTGTAAGATGATTAGCAGCATCCCTGGGTTCTACTTACTAGATGGTTGTAGCACCACCCCTCTCCAATCCCCAGGAGTTGCAATAGTCAAAAATACCTCTTGCCCCCGTTGGTTTGGCTCTGTGGATAGAGCAACGGCCTGTGAACTAAAGGGTCACAGGTTCAATTCCAGCCAAGGGCACATGCCTAGGTTGTGGGCTCAATCCCCCTGCCCCCCTCCAGTAGGGGGTGTGCAGGAAGCAGCCAATCAGTGATTCTCTCTCATCATTGATGTTTCTCTCTCTCTCTCCCTCCCTCCCTTTCTGAAATTAATAAAAATAAAAAAATAAAAACCTCTTACCCTAGCTGACCCTTCACCAAAATTTGACACTGTTGACTGTGAGAACGCCCCTCCTGCCTTTTCTGGAATATGTTTCTCCTCTTCTTCCATAAGGCTGCTTCTGAGCTCCATTCTAGGGCTGCTTTCTTCTGTCTACCTCTTAAATGTTGGACTTTGCTCATAGCTCCATCCTTGATCTCTTTCAGTCTTCTTACTCGCCCTGAGTATCCTCATGCCCCCTAGATACTGATGGCTCCACATACCCAGCTCTGATCTCTCCTGAACTCCAAACATTCACAATTATTTATGGCCTGAAATTCTCCTCATGGTTGTAACATCAAACTTTCAAACTCAATATAACCAAAACAATTCATTAGATACCTAATCCAATCTTATATCTAAAATACTCCACCATTACTCCATCCTCACACCATTGTGGCTATCCCTCATCATTGCTTGCTTAGTATTAAAAAGAAACAACAGGCCCAAACTGGAGTCACTTGTGCTAAGCCCACCAAGACTTAATACCTACCAGTGATGGCGAACCTATGACATGCGTGTAAGAGGTGACACGTGAACTCATTTTTTGGGTTAATTTTTCTTTGTTAAATGGCATTTAAATATATAAAATAAATATCAAAAATATAAGTCTTTGTTTTACTGTGGTTGAAAATATCAAAAAATTCCTATATGTGACACGGCACCAGAGTTAAGTTAGGGTTTTTCAAAATGCTGACACGCCAAGCTCAAAAGGTTTGCCATCACTGACCTAACCTAACTACAGTTTCAGCTTCTCCCAAGAATGGAATTTTAAACCAATTAGTCTGGAATTTCCTGGTCAGCACTAATGAGGTAATCTGCCTGATAAGACCCCCTAAGGCAGTGGTTCTCAACCTTCTGGCCCTTTAAATACAGTTCCTATGTTGTGACCCAACCATAAAATTATTTTCGTTGCTACTTCATAACTGTAACGTTGCTACTGTTATGATTCGTAATGTAAATATCTGATATGCAGGATGGTCTTAGGCGACCCCGTGAAAGGGTCGTTCGACCGCCAAAGGGGTCACGACCCACAGGTTGAGAACCGCTGCCCTAAGAGAACGTAACCTTCCCCTAAGGCAGTGGTTCTCAACCTTCCTAGTGCCGCGACCCTTTAATACACTTCCTCATGTTGTGGTGACCCCCAATTTCATTGTTACAAATTGAACATAATTAAAGCATAGTGATTAATCACAAAAACAATATGTAATTATATATGGGTTTTCCGATGGTCTTAGGCAGCCCCTGTGAAAGGGTCGTCTGACACCCAAAGGGGGCCTCGACCCACAGGTTGAGAACTGCTGCCCTAAGGGAAAGTAACCTTGCCCAAAATAATCCACTTTTTAAATTTCCTTGACCCATCTTTCTGCCTACAAAAACCTCCCACTTTATCCAACTCCTCAAAGCATCCTTCTATTTACTATATGGGATGTTGCCCAATTCATGAATTACTAGTATTCAATGGCTCCAATTAGATCTTTAAATATGCCTGGCTGAATTTGTTTTTTAACACTACTTAACTGATACAGTCTCATGCCACTAAATAGATCAATCATCTGGTTGACCTTTCTTCCTCTGAGTCCTTACTCGCCAAGTTTCCTTTAATTATTTGGCTTCCCAATATTTTTCTAATAGGGAGAGAAGAGGCCAGTCACGTCAAAACAACCGTTCTGAACTCATTCTAGTTCATTTTTTTTAAAGAATAAACTCAGTCATAGGGGCTTGGCTATAATCATCTTCCTCTGAAAGATAAACCCACTTTGATAGACTAACAAAATCTGGTCTCTGAGCATGGATTTAGATTGCCTGTCTCTAGATTCCTGCAATTATTCTACAAGAGAAATATCACTTTGTAAGGCCTGTTGGTGGGGCAATCAGCTTCTCCTAGCGATACTATAAATTCACTGTGCCTCTCTTTACAAGTACTACAATAGCATCTGATAACTTTTCACAGGATCCTGGTCTTGGTCATCCTCCAGTTTGTCAAGTGTGGTTCCCAGAACTGACTTCAGGTTTAGCCCAAGCAACCAGAGATCAGCAAGAATAGCACTGTCCTTATTCTGAATTCTACACTTCTCTTTGTATACTCTGATATTTATAATGTGCTACCTAAATCCTCCTAAAAGTCCTTTTCATATACACTAGAGCTATTCAATTACATATCCCCATTTTCTTCGTAGAATCTATGTTTTGAATACAACCTCACATTCACCCCAATTAACATTACTTCTATTAGCTAGCTGAAGCTGTTTTCAAATCCTGACAACCAATATGCCACCCTCCCAGTTTCATACTTCCCCTTCCTTGCAGATAGTCATTTAAAGTACCTGATTATAAATTGTTTGGTGTAATTTCAGTCCTCTTTCATGAAGCTGCAACTATAAAATAAAGATATAGTTTAAGTATTTGGGGCGGGGGGGAATCCCTTTTTCCAATGTCTCCCCACAATCTCAAATACTTTCCTGCATTATATCAGATTAACATGGTTTCCATTAGCCAAAATCAGTGCTATTTATATAAATAAGAAACCTGGTCAAAGACTTTTTAGTAGACATAATCAAACACTTAATAAATCTAACCCGTGGACTCTTCCAAAGGGATATTAGAAAAACATGAAACAATTATAAGAAGGCTGAGGAAAACATGATTAGCACCATTTCCTCCTAAAAAGCAACCCCCTCACACGTAAATTTCTCCTATATTTCTGAAACATGGAAGGTACAACCTAAGCCTACTGGAAGACAATATGCAGAGGGGGTGGTGCTGCCATGTTTCAGAAATACAAGTGAAAGCTACCAGAGAAGCCCAAAGAAAAGCACACCTGTTATATAGAAATGTGTGCCTTTGAGCCCTGCGATGCCACCAACACCTTCCTGAAAAGTATGGATAAGGTGTATCCTGGGGGGATTCCGAATGTATCCAAGGCAGCATTGTCCATGTACAAATGAAAACAGACAAACAAAAAATAAAACTGTCCCAATTTAGTTCCCGTGATCATGTTTACCATGGCTTTTATAGCTGCTGTTCTGACACGTGGGTCTTGGTCACTAAAGTAATCCCCTATAATCTTCTGGACATCTCTGATAGCTAGGCCTTCTGCATCCTTTGTGACACTTTTCTCCAAAGAGCCGAGATTGCCAAGTAATTGCAGGCACTTATTTCTTACACCATGGGAAGTATCTGTCAGGTGCTATAAAAACAAAAGAGAGGGAAAAAAAGGACATGATTAAGTTATCTTTAAAACAAACCAACCAAACAAACAAACAAAAAACAGAAACAAAAGCATTCTATCAGCTTTAGGAATGACTTGGAACACTATACTCTCACCATAACCTGTATAGTATCATGTTACTTGAGTATGGTCCTCCAAAAAGAATCATAAGTCATTAGGAAATAAAAAATAAGACTCCCTTTTGTTCATTACAGTAGTCCAATCATACTGCCTTGTAAAGGTAGGAGTGAGTACTTTAAAAATGTCCTCTAGCCCTGACCAGTCTGGCTCAGTGGCTAGAGCATCGGCCTGTGGACTGAAGAGTCCCAGGTTCGATTCCGGTCAAGGGCATGTACCTTGGTTGCGGGCACATCCCTAGCGGGGGGGGTGCAGGAGGCAGCCGATGGATGTTTCTCTCTCATGGATGTTTCTGGCTCTCTGTCCCTCTCCCTTCTTCTCTGTGAAAAATCAATAAAACATATTTTAAAAAATATAAAAAAGTTCGCTAGCCCAACAACCAGTGTGGCTCAGTGGTTGAGCGTTGACCTATGAACCAGGTCACAGTTCGATTCCTGGTGGGAGTACATGCCCAGATTGCAGGCTCAGTCCCTAGTAGGGGACAGGCAGGAGGCAGCCAATAATCCTCTCTCATCATTGATATTTCTATCCATCTTTCCCTCTCCCTTCTGTCTCTGAAATCAATAAAAACATATTTTAAAAAAGATTATCAGTAAGAGGTACATACAGAAGTATTTATAATTGAAATAACATGAATGACAAGGATTTACTTTTTGTTGTTGTTAATACCCCAGGATATTTTTCCATTATTTTTTTTTTTTTTTAGAGAGAGTGAAAGGGAGGGAGAGGGCCAGACACATTAATTGGCTGCCTCCCGCACACGCCCCAACCAGGGCTGGGGATTGAGCCAGCAATCGAGGTACATGTCCTTTACCTGAATCAAAACTGGGACCATTCAGTCCAAAAGCTGATGCTCTATCCATTGAGCAAACTGTCTAGCGCTTTTTATTTATTTACTGCACATTGAAAGGAAATTAGAAAAAATATTTTAATATCACTATCACCCTTTCTCTATAATAGAAGTGTCAACCAAATTCACAACTGACAATGACAGATTGAAACACAGGTGTGCGATTGGCACCAGCGAGAGCTTTATTAATATACTAGAGGCCCAGTGCACAAAAATTTGTGCACTTGGGGGGGTCCCTCAGCCCGGCCTGTGCCCTCTCGCAGTCTGGGACCCCCTCCACGGATGACCACCTGCTGGCTTATGCCTGCTCCCCGGGGGATTGGGCCTAAGATGGCAATCAGACATCCCTCTGGCAGCCCGGCAGCCCTCGGGGGATGTCCACTTGCCGGCAGGG